ACTAAGAAATCGTCGATCAATCCAAAAAAAAAAAATCAAAATAACCAGTAGTATGTATATTTCAAACATCAAAAACCCAATCTGATTACATCGCAAACACGCTATGCAACGAAAGAAAAATAACAAGAAATATCAAATAAATGGCAAGAGGATCAGTAGTTCATAGACACTTCCAGATTATAAATTTCAATTCTACAGAAACAAATAGATCCTAGCATTATAAAAGCCTTTCAGACAGTTTTTAAAAGTGTCCTGTTTGGTATGACAAAATGTATAAAAGTTTCACCCTTACCTCCTTGCGCACAATGCTAATGCAAATTGTGTATCTGTTGCTTCAACCTATGTTGTTTCCTTAGATTTTTGTCATAAAGATGTGCACTGATCTGCAGACGATCCAAATCTTTTCCCTTCTTACCCACCTCCCCCCCCCCCCAAAGTACAATCAAGGGCTTGAAATTCTTAAGTCCGTATTTATATGCTGCTTAAGCCCTTTCTATGTCATTAACTCCCTATCGTCATATCACTTGCTTAGTATCAGTATTTAGTTTCACTAGTCTTAATCACTGTTCCTTTGTATTTCCCTCAATATGCTTAGAATGTTTCTTCTTAACGTTTCAGGAAATACATAATTTGGCTTCATTTTTCTCATTTTCCTGAAAGTGCAGTGCTTCAGTTTCTCTTACAAGACATTTATCGAGACTGTTCAGTTAGAATTTTATGTTAAATCAACAACTGAAGAGCATGTTATAACTTCACTGTGATCCCTTTGGAACCCAGTGTAATTTAGAATATTTTTATATTTTCTTTGTACACGAGTGAATATTGTGATGTATGTACTTAGTTGTCCATTAAGTCATAATAACATGTGTTGCCATGAATGCTTCTGTTGGATTAGAGCACCAATTCTTAACTTTAGATGAGTACAAGGGGGCATGTAACCATGTTACCAAGAAATATGCATTTACTGTTACTACATATAAAATCAAAAATTGATGCTCTTCTCTTACACTTTTTTTAATCTCCTATGAATCTGACCCAGTGGTTAATTTGGGTCATGGTGACAGAAACAATTTTTGTTTTCATTCTGTGCTTTGAATACTCTGATTCTCAATAAAGACAGTGAGGGCTTTGAGTAAGATGCCCATGTTAGGGTTCATCTCATATCAGGACCGATGATGGTCTAAGTATATATTCTACTTAATACATTTTACTCCTTGCCCTTTCAAGTGTCTGTAAGTAAGGCGTTGCTCAGACATCTTTCTTGTACAAAGGAAAGACTTTTTGTTGCCCAATTCCATGTATGTTATTATATTATTGTGTAAGGTATTTTATACTGTGCCACAACATGGTACAAGGTCTCCACAACCTGGTTGTTTTGTGTGTTCCTCCATAATGGATGGTACCATCGTGCTGTATAGTTTATTTGTCAACTTGAAATAATTTTAATGCTAAAGGATGCCATATGTAGAATAATAATAATAAAAAAATCTTAACAAGATTATTCATGTTCAATTTACACACTTGTACAAATATGTTATAATTATGACATACGCGCGCGCGCGCGCGCACACACACACAACACACACACACACACACACACACACACACACACACACACACACACACACACACACACACACACACACACACACACACACCACACACACACACACACACACACACACACACACACACACACACACACACACACACACACACACGCACACGCACACGCACACACACACACACACACACACACACACACACACACACACACACACACACACACACACACACACACACACACACACACACGCACACATCTTGGATCTCGAGCCTGAAATCTACAAATATATACAAATGCATAGAGAGACAGGCAGACATATTTGACGTAGCAAAGTTACCACAGATTTATACTCGTCTAACTTTCTGATTGATTATTCTAATATTGAATATTACTCCCAGTCCTTTGCTCGTTATTGTCGCGGGTGCTTCAGAGATGGAGCCTGAGGCCCAAGTAGGAGATGACCCCTTCCTTGGACCTCAACCCTCACCTCAACTAATTATGCTTGGTCTTTTCTTCTCCCCCTTTCCTTTTCATCCTCTCCTTCATCTCCTTATTCTATCCACTCCCTAAGGTGTGAGAGACGTGCTGAAAGGAGGAAACGCTGGCTGTGTGTCAGTTATGAACGGCCCCCGGGAGCCATGCCCAAACCCCATGTGGAAACACTGAGGGATAGACCGTTTCTTCACCCTTATTAGAAGCATTACTTTCTCCTTCATCAACTAGCCGTTGTCTCCTTTGACCACGGCTCCAACCACTGGTACAAATAGTTCCTCCTTGATGTTTACTGACAACCCTATCCATTCCAAACCTCCCACCAAGGTCATTACTCAACCTTCAGAATGTACCCTTTCCTCTTTCCCAACATTCCTCTCTCCATCTCCTGTTGCAATGTCCTTCATTGTCTATCCCCTCCCCCCTTTATAAGTACTCTTCATCCTTATAATCATCCTCTCCACAGTACTACTCACCCCATCTTCCTCCCGCCCTCGTCCTTCTCTTCCTTCCACTTCTGCAAAATTTAGTACTCTTTGGCCCAGCTAAATGGGATTGAGTCTTTATGATTCCCCCCACAACCTGTTACTCTGAGTCCCAAGCTATTGCACGATCTGCTCTGACTGATGTCACTGGCAAAACTATTCCTGCCGAACCTTGCTCCATTCTTAATACTTGTACAGGAATTGTTTCCATCTTCCTGACCGATTGTCTTATCTACGAAAAGAACTGGTCAGACTGTAAAAATGACTTACTTGCTTGCCTTGTTAACTATGATGCAGTGGCAAGACCGTGCTACATTATTCCCCCCAGAGGACAGCATAAGCCTTACTCCAATATTACCAAGATTAGCTTCCATAGACATGACCTCCCCCGTGAAGTTTATATTGGTGGAGTGTCCACCAATGTAAACTTCGGCCCCTCCCTCATCAATGTCAGAAATGTTGGTGTTTTGGCCACCCAGCCAAACACTGTCCCTCCACAGCCCTCTGCCCTCTTTGTGCCCAACCTGGTCATGACTGTACAATTTACCCTGCATAGTCACGTACATGTGCCAATTATGGTGACTCCCATAATGTATTTTATAGGAGCTGCCCTGCCCATAAGCTCGAATGTGAGGTAGCAGTCATCAGATTCAATCTAGGTCTCACTCTACATGAGGCCAGACAGGAAGCACGGCATCAAGGTTTTTCTGTTTCTACCTATTCTAAAAGTGTCTTTTGCTCTGTTCCCCTCCCATCTTCTCGATGTCTCAGTTTCTTTTCCCTCTACCCTGATTTCTCCTAGTCAAATTCCTTTTCCAGTCTTAATCCAGATACTCCACTTTCTACCACTTCTCCGATGCCTACCCCACCTCCAATTCACTTTACCTGTCGCACCAGACAATTTAAACATTCCACTCTGTCTACACCTACCACATCCCCTTTTACAGCCTACTCTTCCTCTGCTCCTCGATCAACTGTCCCCTCCTTCCCTTAAGAGAATCTTTGCTTCTCAGACCTCCCCACCCAACTATTTCATCGAATCGCCCTATACCCCTTAACCCTTTCCATCACTAATCTCCGATTTACTTCATTTGCACCCCATCTTTACTCTTTCGACTATCACTATCCTATAACGCTCCATTATCTTTGACATTCAACACATTTTAGCCTAATGGTTAACAAATGTTTACCCTGCACTGCACAATACTTTATCTTAGCGCTATATGACCTTTGATGTCTAGAACATTTATTTGTTTCAACCATAACCATTAACCATTATGCTGTATTGTACGTTCCACAAATATTGAAAGGAAATATAAAAAAAATGTCTCACGATAGACCGACTAGCAAACTACTGTATGAGCTTTTGATTTTATGGTGAAACTTGGGAGGTCTGGCTATCAGATATCCGAGTGACTCCCCGAAGAGGGTCAGAAGCATCTAACCCTGGTGTAAGATTTGTTCAAAGACTTCGAAGCTTGTTGGGGCTCTCGGCTCCATCTAAATTGTTTAATCTCATTTTTATATATAGAATTTTCTCAGCGCGGTTATTTCTTCATATCACCTGTGCCCTTCAGCATAGTAATAGTCTAATTAAACCATTTCTACAATTAAGACCCCCTTCTCCCTTTTTCGTTGTCGTCTTTGTGGGGGTTAGAAGACGGATGTCTTGGACCTCACCCCTCGCCTCAACTAAATTTGCAAGGCCTTTTTGTCCTTTCTCCTTTTCTTTCTCTCCTTCATCCCCTATTTCTGTCCATATTCTAAAGTACGAGAGCCTTGCCGAAAGGATGAAAGGCATGCATACCACTAGCTACACCTCATTCACTTTTTTACCACCACAGATTCACTGGATAAAAGTTTATGAGGTGAAAATGGCGTGCAAACACATTCTTCAGCAGCGCCCACCATCTATATGTGCAACACTGTTCCGAACCTCTTGTGTGCCACATGAAAAACTGACAATGAACCTAGCAAGAGACCTCTGTAGAGGCTTAGATAAAGTAAAATGCTAACTGAAGGTAATTGCTGATACACAGGGGAAGCAGTTCCACCCCCCCCCCCATTCACAGGGAAATTAACTTCTTTCATGACATTGGACCACTGAGGTGGAAATAAGTATAATTCATAAGTACAATAAGACGAATAAATTAAAAGGCTAAAATTAATATAGATAAAAAACAAACTAGCCCCATGCTAGAAATGGTGTAAAGACCACTTGACAAATGAAGACAAATTTGGGGGTCGTCTGTATGTCCTTGCCTTATTATGTAGCCATATTGTCAACCAATAAGAGGGGCAGCATCTAGCTAAGAGGACTGGATCCTCTAGTGTTAAGTGGGCATCGGCTGAAAACACAGGGAAGGATATATCTACCCTGATCATCATCTCAAAACATAAGAGTCAGATAACGATTATCCCTTCACAGACCAAGAGCTTGTACTGAACACCACCAAACACATCAGGGACAGATAAAGTTGCGTAATCCTTATTCTGTCACCAGCCCTATATATAAACCAGCTCTCCTAAGAATTGTCAACGTGTCATTATTCAACTACGTCCAAACACGAATCAAGTGATACCTTTCGTCCAGTTTCACTTTTATTACATGTGGGAAACCTATGGAGGCAACTGTGGTACACAAATTGCAGCATACCATTCCATCCTTTCATCCAAATATTTTTGCCTACTAAAAGGGTACAGGCACAGACGACAACATCGCCACACTTCTCACCAGGGGCGGCTCCAGAGAATTTTCTGGTGGGGGGCACAGGGTAACAACAACAATAAATCTGGGGGGGGCCGCCCAAAAGAAGCAAAAAATTAAGACTGCCCACTTCAGTACTTATATTGTATAGGTATACATTGTTTATGTTTTCATCTTGCTGTGTATTATATATTATATGTTAATATTATATATTTATTTATGAATATCATATATAAATATTACATATTAATATATAAAGGGTCAATGACTCTTGGGTGGTGTGGACACGGGGTGGCCAATCAGACTACAGGGGGGACGGGTGCCCCCCTGTGCCAGCATGGCACAAAAGACCATGTGGCATTTTTCCTCGATCTCGAGAAATCCACTGAACAAGCCAACAAGGAAGCCACAAAAGGGCCTCAAAGGCAAACTCATTTGCTGGATACAGGAAAATGTAACAGAAAGATGTCAGAGTCAGATTCTAGAACCACCTACCTGATTGATATGAATCACTTTCTATTCAAATCTGATCTTTTCATGGTTAATGGAAATTCAATTCTTAAACAACATATATCTTTTAGCCAACTGAAGTAACCTGCAAAGAACTTGGCCCTAAGATCAATTCACAAAAATCAAGAGCATCATAGTTTCAGAGAGGCTGTGCTTGTCAGCGACACTATAAAAGCAACCTGTCACTCGAATGGGTCCTCTTTTACAAATGTCTAGGCATTTTCTTCAATTCTGAATTGTCCACTACTACTCAAGTTATCATTTGGAAACTAATGCTGATGAGCGCACACAATTCCACGCCTCTCATGGCAATCCACCAGGCAAGGCCTTGGTCGATCTCTAACTCCTCACAAGTCTGATCGATCTGCCCTGGCCACAACTTTGTACATGGTCTTCCTACTGGCCTTTTCCATCCAGGGTTTTCTCAAATAGAGACAACATGGTGGGCAGGATCGCCCTGTAGGAAGCAAGCTAGGTGCCCGTATTACCTGAGTTTGGATCGTACAAGTAGCATCCAGATTTCACTACTATAGAGTAAAAATGGCAGTATCAGTGCCTTGAAGATGCGTAGCTTGGTCCTACAACTTTGAGCACTTATTTTACCAAATTACTAGATTACATAAACGTAGGTCCGGTTATAAGTGACAAATTGCCCTAGAATTGCTATTTTTTCTAAATTTTTGATCGCTTTGCTTGCCTACTTTTCCCCAAAGAAAAAGAAATTCTGTTCGCCTGTT